AAGCATAATCTGGACTCATACTGCACGTATGCACTACGAACGCTTGCCTCTATAACAACACCGTTTAGATGAATATTAATCTTCAACCGCGAAAACGCATCAAATCCGACGGGGGAATTTTTGCTCAGATCCCAGATCAAAAGCTTTAGAACTATGCATGTACTGCAACAAACTCCCAGTTAAACTCTTCTTAAATTCATATTTTTCTAAAATGACTAGCAAGAAAAATCCCACATTGTAAAAACACCTCACTGACAAATTATTTACTGTAATTACACTTAATTACACTTCAATAATAAGTGCTATGGTTATATGCATTACAAATGGAACCTTTAAATGGTCTTTTTAAATTCCACCCAGCAAAGTGTGCTAAACTCCGTTTACAACCAAATGAGCAACAGGTTTTGTCCTAGAAACACTGCAAATGAAGACGCATAAACTTACAGCTCGTTTACGAAATCAGATGTTTGCAAGTCAAAGCTGTTTACCTTGGCACAGGCATTACATCATCAGGTATCTTCAGGTATCATCGATATGTTTCCCCCCTTTAATACGTACTCAGTAGCTAAAATATATATATACATACATATATACACACACACAAATATATATATAATCAGGTCTGGAAGTATAACTCCCGACAAACTGTGTCCATGATTTCAGCAATCGCGCAGCAATAAGTTCGCGGTGTCTCTACTTCCTCATCAGACAGGTGGGGAAGACGTGTTGAACATTGTATCAAAGCTACCAGACAGACACACACAAGTACACCGCACACTATTCACAGAAATGTTGTTGTTGCACTTAATCCTGCAAGTATCATATCATGACGATGCCAAAAATAGCAGAAGCATCGGGTTTACCTGCTACGCCGATAGAGGTGTGGCACCTGCTTGCCGGAGGTATTGTTTTTTCCACTACTAACTTCTTCTCATTTATATTTACTGTCATCCATGAGGGACAGGGTACATTAAAAGGCCCGAAAGACACCGATCACACGTCAGCCAGGTGTAGTTTATAAAGGAGTGAAACAGCAGGTGATCGCTGTTGTTTCCCATGTAAGCGTAGGTGGGCAAGGAAACTCCTCCCGCAGCCGCGATCTCCCATGTCGCCTGCCCTGCCCGTCTATTTGAATTTGAGCTGGAAATCCAGGGCCCTGCTTCGCCACATTGCATGGTGCGTTAATCATATACCATGTGACCTTGGATAAAAAAAACTTTTAACCATCTGTAGGCCATTTGTATGTTTTTCCCAAGCTCTAGGGTCATGACCCAGCTCTCCACAACCATAAGGTAGTATACTTTAATATTTAGTTATTGCCTTCAAAATAGAGAGCTGTGTACAGTAGTAATTGCTTGCAACCTTCCATTTGACAATTAGAAGAATTATTGACATAATGTATAAATTATCTGTTTTTGGTATTTTTCCAAAAGTTGTAGGGAATTATGTAGCACCATACTATGGATGACATATTGTCCTCCACAGACAGCATCTCCATAGACAGCATCTCCACAGACAGCATCTCCATAGACAGCATCTCCATAGACAGCTTCTGAGTCTGTGTAAGTGAATTGGGATCCACCATCTGAAAGATGGAATGCTTTTAGATATATGGCACATTGGTATGATACTTTATATTGTTTTTGTGTATGCTGGAAGACAAAAAATCCTATAGAAATACCCTAATATTCCTTTGAAAGAAACTGGAGACATTTCTATAGCTCAGAAACATGACCCATCTGCAGATGATGACGATTGTCTTGGCAGCAATGGCAGAAACTGCATGAGCCAAGATTTTGTGAAGACGACCAGTGGAGAAGTAGCTTTAGGGTGCTTCATAGCAAAACAAAGCAAGTTACGGGCAGGATATAATGTACAAGGCAGGGAATGTGTAGTTCAGGACTGCTCTTCGAGAGGGGTTTAAGCTAGTGGAAATAAACTGATAAATACCTGGGGCTGTTCGTGCAAAATGAAAGCCTTATTCAAGAAATTTCCTCACCATTTTAATTAATTATACCAAATGTCCCTATGACCCTGTAAAGGATAAGTGGGTGGAAGATATCTGATGATAACATGGTTTAGCGTGTGTCAGATTTCATTTTCTGTCTGTTATTTGTTTTTCTCCATACTGACTACTTTGCTGTTGAAATATGAACTATTTACATAGTTTGGATTACGTTGCATTTCAACATTTCTCAGTTGGCTGCGGATAAGATCAGATTGGTCCTTCGTTATGTGTGCGTTTGAAGCGATGTTACATGACTGTCTGTCACAGATGGTCCCTCACTCTGGCAGCTCTCCTATAGGCTTGTCCATCTTGCTTGTCTGCTCACCCCACCCGGTGCGCAAATCGCATCACTCAAAGCCACCTTAGCTCTGAAGTTTATAGTTGCTCATTCAGCACCAAAAATGTGTTTTGCAGATGATTTAATCCTAAGCAGTTTAAGAAGGGTACACACACACACACACACACACACACACACAGACACACACACACACACACACACACACACATTAAAGTAACTCTGAAGCACATTTCTGAAAGCTACATATGACTGCTCCTGGAAGATTTAGCTACACTTGGTACAAAGAAACTTTGTGTAACTTTTAATATGCTGTGTACATCAGTCTTCCAACCTCTTATCCTGGTCAGCAGGGACCTGTGGCCTAGAGCCTGTCCCAGGCAGCAGAGAGCACAATGCTGGGGTACAGGCCGGTCAGGATGCCAGTGCATCACTGGGCAGGTACGCATGGAGACTCTGTGGGCAGTTTTGAGAATTCAGGAAGCCTAACTGCATGTGTTTGGGCTGCAAGAACATGTGTGAACTCCACAGACACAGATCCTGGGTGGAATTCAAACTCCCCTACCTTAGAGGTCCACAGTGCCACCCTACAGGCCAGGGATGCAATGCTAAAGCAAATTCATGGTTTGCTACATACCTCAGTTTTGGGTTCAGTTTTCGGTGCAATTTTGGTACAGCAGGGAAAACAGTTTGTTTTGAAATTGTTATTAAAATTGCAAACACAAACATGGAGTATGATTGCGTATCTGTAGCAATAAACACCCCTATTGCTGTTTAGTTTTTTCCTTTTTTTTTTTAGCTTGGTCTGAATTTCCTGGCAAATAGACCTTAAATGCCACAGGGAGACTAACATGTTTCTGTCTTGCTCCTGTCACACACACATTCAGATGATGTCGTCTCGAATGAGTTAGAATGTTGGGTGTGTTTCCAGCACGACAGACAATCTTGGTCTTACATCAACCAGTGCTGGGGCGTAATTTATTGGGAAACCAAACGTTCACAAACTGTGGACTATGACTGACTGTAAGTAGCATTAGCTGTAACCAACTCTCAGCCACAATTAGCATGATGTTTTACTTGTGAAATTGCTTTCTGCCTGTCTCAGTCAATGTATTCATTCATTCATTCATTCATTCATTCACTGTGCGTACCCAACAGAAAAGGGTGTGACTGAATGGCACACAGCATACATGTACCGTCATAGCCCTACTACAGACTGTCTGAAATTTGATCTATAGAGCTTAAGATTTACTGTCTAGTTACTACTTAGAATTTATTGCCTTGCACCAGATTCCTTTCTAGAATATGGAATTGTTCCGCTCCATGGCCAACGGTCTTTGGGGACTTTAATGTCTGTGAGCTTGAAGTGGCCAATGCCTGCAAGTACACCTGTCACGTGCGGCATGTTTTCGTGCGCGGGATTGAAGAGCCGGCCTTCCCTTTGTTTCCCTTGTAGGTATAATGTAGCACGTCAGCTAAGGTTTACCAGCTCGCCGCTGTCAGCAAGATTAATGTGTTGGGCCCTCAGCCGGTAGCGTCATGGTGTCTATGAACATTATGAGGATGACTCACCTCGTCCCTGCTTTGAAAAAGGGGGGCAAATAAAGCAAGGCGACCCGTAAAACCGCCAACCACTGAGAGAATCGTCTAGTTTATGGCTGTGGGAGATAGTGTATGGCTAAATCTGAATTTGCAGATATGTCTGATAAATTACTCAGTTTTAAAGCACTGCTGTATACATGCAACCCTTTAAATGTGAGGCAGAATCTCTGTGAGAAGGTCATATTAAGACAGGATATACTCAGAGCCAGGGGACATAAGCTTACTCTAAACAGTCTGGGAAGGTGTGGTCCCTGCAGGCCTTCTATTGCTATGGAAACAGCACGCACACTTGGCACCATGGGAAATAAAAAAAAAAAACAAAAAAGATAGCCCAAAGCAATTATTCATCCATTCATCTTCTATCCACTATCCTAGTCATGGGGGAGAAGAACTGCAGCCTATCTGGGGCAACATATAGGGCACAAGATTGGGGTACACCCTGGATGGGATGCCAGTCCACCGTACGGCTCATACATGCCCGAGTTTGGCACATAGGAGCTGCTAACGAGCATAACTGCATGTCTTTGTCCTGCATGAGGAAACCCAATGCAGGCAGGATATGCAAACTCCACAGAGTCATAGAAGTGGGGTGATGTTCAACCCCCTGGACCTGAAGGTGTGAGCCACCATGCTCCCCTTAGTGATCCTTCTGAGCCACCAGATTACAGGGGCGTCCATGCGGCCGCAGGCTGCACTGCAGGTGTGTAACCTAATTAAACATCCTTCCCCAGGGTTTTCAAAACATTTCAGCTCTCATGCCCATCATTACAGAAGAGGTCTGTACAGGCATTTACCCGCGACTTTGTGGCTTTTTATAATATATTTGTTTAAAAGTTTTATTTTGCTCAATTACTTGAGACATTTGTTAGTTTATTTATTTACTTGGATGTAGTTAGTGCCGCTGACACCATCTCCATGTCAAAGTCTATCCCAATGTGTCAGTTTAACTTTAATTTAAGATAATGAATCTGAACAGCTGACCCCTGCTGGCTGTCTTTTAATATTACAATCATTTTCTATGATACGCATATTCGGGTGCTGTATAAGGATACTGGTCATTTTTAGCTATGGGAAAAAGATCCACTCTGAGGCAAAAGAGAACCATTTTATTACATTAAAAATTTCCATACAAACAATGCATACACACAATTTCATATTGCTCCAGACATTTTTTTGAATTATTCCAGTTATACAACTCTGTAACAAAATGTAAATACAACATTTATGAAAATATAAATCTCTAAACAGTTAAGTCAGTCCTGACAATACAAAGACCGTAGAAACATTCATTACCAGTACATTTTTAAATACATGTCGCAAACCAGTAAGTTATTAAAAGTCATTCAAGTTACATAACATATAATATACTGTATACTGGCTTTTATATTGACACATTCAAATATACTCTTGAACTAGCATTCCATATAATAAGATGTGAGTGGACTAATTTTAAACTTATTAGTAAAGATGATACATTATATCTTGCATGGCTAATGCATTGACACTGAATCATACCAAAATCTAAACAACTTTGCCATGACAAAATTCCAAGCCATTTATTTAACAGGGATTAAGTTCTAAACAACCACAATAAAAATAGACAAACTTGAACCTTTGGCAAATATACTGTATATTGTTGTTCTTTGTAGTGGTTTTTCTCTATATGGGAAAATAAACTTTTGAAAGATAAATACTGCTACAAGTCGTAAGATATAGAAAATATGTCAGAAGAGGGTAATGCATCAACAATGAAACAGTGACATACAATTTTATGGAGTAGCCCTTTATATTTGTATAATGCAAATAAACATGAAACAAACTAATAAACTAACCTAAACTTAAAATAAACCGTCTGAATCCTTCCCCAGGGCACATGAAGAATCTGTTTCACAGTAGACTGCAATCCACACATATCTATATAATCAGGCAAATTAAATTCCTCTTCAGACTTTTGCATTGTTCCTACCTTTATTTAGTTTATCTCCTGACTATACACAACGGAATTTTACATTTTTGCTAGACACAACAGAAACATGAGAGGATCTGAAGTGCTGCTGATACTAAGTCCTACATACAATAAGTTACATCCGGCAGGTGTTTCATACGAGCCTCACTCGTATTGGTTTGATTGGTCAAATAGGAAATTTACAACCTTCTTAACGTTCTGATTTTCCTCGTACTAAGGTAACAGTATTTGAATGTATATATTTGTAAACTGCCAAATCCATAACAAATGCTTATTAGAATGAACACTGTATTTATGAATTCCCTGCATCATCAAAGTTTCCAAAATTCTCAAGGAAAGAAAAAAAAAACTTTTAAAAATTCAGGCACTCACTTTGATTGTATTAAGCACAACAAAACATTTTCTTTAAGGAGTTGCACAATTGTAGCAGCCAAAATAGATATATACACATATAAATATACACATATCTCTTTTTACAGTACCAGAAAATGCCGTGTAATAGTGAGACGGGTAATACAGCTAACAACACAAGTTTAACTTAAAAATCTGCAGCAAGTATTTATAAATAAAAACAAAATAATGGAAAAAATAGTTTAAAATAATGTTACTAATAAGATCAAAATAAAGAGCCAGTAGAAACAATATTAACTAGCATTTGATGTTTTGATATGCTACTGAGTAATAATGGAAATGTAACATTTAGCATTTAACAGTCACTAGGCAGGACTAGTTTGTGGATAAACCAAGTTCAGGGGAGTGTTTGTTGATGGTTAGAGTGCCACCAGTGGCCTGTACTACGAAGCGGGGTTACTGGCTTATCGGGGTAACTTGTCGGATTTAAGGTACCACAGTTTAAATGGACTTCATATTCGTTCACTTACATTTTGCCCAGACTACCTTAAATCCGACAAGTTACCCCGATAAGCCAGTAACCCCGCTTCGTAGTACAGGCCCCAGGTGTTTACCTGCAGTTGCATCACAATGGATCTGTAAACAAGGACTGGCTGCTAAAATTGCACTCTCACTGTAGCAGGTCATTTTTCTTTGTCGGTGTCGGAGTTTCTGCCTCCCCTGAGTCTGAGACGTTTATCGGACTGTCTCTGGAGAAGACCTCGGTGGACTCTCTCCAAATGCAATCCGCGATGGTCTTAAAGGGAAAGGTGCTGCACTTTGGTCGCACCTTCTGGGAGGCATTATTGACTATCTGACGGCTATTGGATGTGGCAATTTTGATCTTTAGTGCAGCGTCAACACGATCCACTACAGTGTAGGTGCCAATGCTGCCATCTTCAAAGCCCACAATGATGTTGAGGGCTCGCTGGGCCAGGCACAGGAAGGTTGGGGTCTTGTACAAGGAGCAGGTACCAATGCTCTTCCCATCAGCTAGCCTCATGACGATGAGGCTAGATACCACACCAGCATCGTCGTCCTCATCGCAGTTTCGGAAGCAGATATAGACCAGGTAGCGTCCATCACGTGAGAGCTTCTGCTTCCATATAATGCCGGCAGCATGGACAAGCCGAAGCTTGCCGCTATGCAGGTCCAGTACATTGATGTTCTCATCTCCCTTAGATACGATACCCAGTTTTCCATTTGGGGAGATCTGGAAGTCTTCCAGAGTCTTCAAGAAGTTGCTGGGGAGCTGCACTCTTCGACAAATGGACTCATCTGCAATGCTCCAGATGAACACAGTCTCTGTGGATGTGATAAAGACGACAAAATCTGGACAATCTGGGATTAACTTGAAGTTGACGATTGTGATGCCGTCGTCACAGACAAATTTTTTGGATACGCTGCCAGACCAGAGGCTCACAGCAAGTAACTTGTTTTTTGTTATTCCCACTAAGAAGGTATTGGCTGTAGTGATCAAGGCATTCTGCAGTGATACCAGGATATTACATACCTTGTGGCCTGTGGCCAGCCTCCATACCCTGGATGCATTCTGCTCACAGAGAGACACCACAAACTGGTCATTGTGGGTGATCAAGATTTGGGAGATCCTCTGGCCATTGATCCGGAAGATATTTTCACCTGTCGTTGTCTGCCAGATGTACTGGCTGCATTTGTCATCAGAAGTCACCATAAGATCCCCAGATGAAGTCAGGACACAGTTATCGACAATGCCTTCATGCTTGAACACAGTCTCAATGAAACCGGTGCTGAAGTTCCATTTGTGGACGGACTCTGATCCATCCGTTGTGTAGATAAAATCCTCTCTACTAGACAGCTGCAGACTCTGAATGCGCTTCCCAGTTTTGTCAATGTTTGACATAGCAGTAATGATGTCAATGTCCCAAACTGAGAGCACTCCACTGCTGGCTACTGACAAGAGCAGGTTGTGATGACTGGACTTGATTAGTTTCACAATAGCTCCTGAGATCTCCACTAGGCTTGCCATACACTGGCCACTATCCCTCCTCCATACAAAGACTGATGAAGTATTTTCCATAGATGCAACTATGCTCTCCCCTTTCTTGGAGAGTACAGCTGCCACAAAGCGCTCACTGCGTTTGGCTTTGAACTTCTCAACCATTTTCCACAATCTGGTGTCCAGAACCTCTATGCTCTCAACTTTGCAGATGAGAATGGAGCACTGGTCTTCTGATAACTCAATGCCTATCACCTCACTCTCATCACCTCTGCAATCATAGTCCTCAATGATCCGTGGGTTTGTGATCTCTTTTGTGTTCCAGACTGAGAGACTGCCCTCATTATCGATCATCACCATCTGATGAATTGTGTCTAAGATGAGGAGAGACTTGACGAATCCCCCAGAGAACTCTGATGTTACAGTGGCTAATTTGTCACCACTGCCAAGGTGGAAAATTGATGTGGTGTTTAGGTACTGTCCACAGAATGCATACATACCATCTGGAGAACACTCAACACAGGTGACCTCGTACCAACAGTGGAATTGGTACAGAGGCCAACCATAAAGCAAATCAATGACACTAACATCTTTGCTGGCTTCTAGCCAAGCGAGAGCATGATGACTGGACAAGGTGAAGCCATTGATGAAGGCAACCCCTCCAGTAACTCCACAATGTTTAGAGCCTTTCACCTCCACTTCAGACAACAGGCATGACTTGTGGTTGTCATAAATGAGCAGTGTGTTTTTAGTGGTGGCCACAACTAAATACTTTTCATCACTGGTGAGTCTGATCCCTAAGACAACAGAGCGTGCAGTGTCGATTTGTCTCAGAAGTTGTCGGCTTTCCACATCCCATGTGCTGACGGATCCATCCTCTAGTGCTACAATGACAATGTTGGGGGCGAAGGTTGGAAGAATGTCCACAATCTGCATGTAGCTGGAGCACAGAGGCAATCTTTCTGGAGTGTAGGTGACGTCCATTGAGGAGTGCAGGGGCACGATTGAGCAGTACTTAGGGCCATCTTTGTCACATTCCAGCAGGAGATGCCGGAGTTTTGGCAGGGAGGTGACCACAGGCAGAAGCCTCTGCTGAAGCTCAGCAGACAGGGAGCTTGGGTTCCGAGTCACCTTAATCTTGATGCTACGCAGAGTCGTGGCCAGGAACTTGAGTTCTTTCTCCTGTGAGTAACTGTAGGCTAGGTCAATATCTGCTAATGCCTTGTCAAACTGCCCAATCTTGATCATGGTATACAACCAGCTGAAGTTCATGATGACCCCAAATGTGAGATCATCCATCCGGCCACTCCGAGTGAGGTGGTAGAGAAGCTCTGTCATTTTCCGGTGGTTGACAAAGAAGATGTCTGGCTCCAGGAGGTTGCACTGAAACACCCATGGCTGCTCTGGAGTTTGTCTGTCATATGAGTGCTTATCAGCTGTAGCTTTGTCGCTGTGGTGATGGGGGTTCCTGTGATGAGATATGTTCAAAGAGTCAAAGTGATTGTTGTCACAGTGGAAGATTTTCTTCCTCCCACCCGACCAGGTCCCTAAGAAATACTCTGCCAGGAGACTGTGCATCTGGTGAACATCCTCCTCGTTGCTGAGATAAAGCTTTTGGGCAATTAGGTGCAAGTGCCTGTTAGCCCACACCATCAGTGTCACATTCCGCACCTGCCTCTCGATGAGGTACCCCTCGAGTTCCTCTTTGAGCTGGGCGATGAGACAATATGATATCCGTAGTGGGCTCTTGAGGTTGGAACTCACCATGATGTCACCAAGGACACTGTTGTCTAAGGAAAGTATGTCCTCCAACTCCATCTCTGTCAGTCCAGATCGGGCCATAGTGATGTACCCCAATGCTCGGAACACAAACCGTGAACCCAGCTTATTCTCAATGGAGTAGAAGAGCTGCTCAATGCTCTCATGCACTGTTGAGCACAGTGAAGTTTCATCTACGTCCTTGTGTGATCTCCAGTGCTGCACTTCCCGGAAGATGAGGTTGACAAACATTGGCAGGGTGCACTTAGCTAGTGCCTCATTGACATAGATCTGCTGCCCTGAGGTGACCTTACGCTTGATATTAAGGAGCTGGTGCTTGAGGGTCTGGCTACACATCTTCCGGTCATGTTGCATTAACTCCACGTAGCGGCTCTCGTCCTGGACGAGGCAACGTAACCTCTGTAGGATGCCATGCTTATTGGGTAATGTAGAGACCACCACCCGGACAGCCCGTGGCAGGTGTGCTGGAAGCCACCACAGCTTCCGTGCCTCGTCTGCTTCAGAGAGCTGTTCTAAGGCATCCAGCAAGATGACCAGTGGTCGCTGCAAGGAGGCCTCATTCAGCAGGCTCACCAGCAGCTCCCGCATCTCACGGATCTTGTTGGGCAGGAAGCGGATCAGACAGCAGTAGTTGATGGCGATCTGCTCACAGATGCTCTGCAGGAGTGTGCGGAGGTCAGTGGAGAATTCTGAGGATCCAATGAAACGGACGATGACCACTGGGTCACTCTCTGGGCCCATTTCTTTCTGAAGCCAGGAGTAAGCCTAAAATAAAGAAAAAAAAAACATTAATTGGAACCTCATTTGTTCCAAATTACTGATACTGATAAGTACTGTAAGAAAGAAGAACTCTGGAAAAAACTGGGATCATGTCGAGTATGCTTTGACATTAGGTTTAGAGTTAGGGCTAAGGTATAGAGCAGAACCTTTGTTTAATGGCTGTGGCATCCTGCTCTATGCTATATGATAAGAATGAAGAGACTTCTCTGATCTCCATTGCTAAATTCCCCCCATATTCACACATGAACCTACCATTTACCCCAACTAAAGGCATTATAGTAACTGAAATATCAAAAATATTCTCTAATTAAACTATGTGATCTGACAGTTAGTACTCCGTTCCAACAAATAAGGCTGTGCCCTAAATTACCGTTTCCCAACCCAGTCCTCGTGAACCGTTAGACTGTCCACATTCTTGCTCCCTTCCAGTTCCCAATAAGAGCAAAAACCTGGACTGTCTGGGAGTTCGCATGAACTGGCTTGGGAAACACTGCCCTAAATGACAAAGGGTGGGTCAGACCACTGTCCTACAGGCAGGGGATGCCAAAGGGTGTTAAGCTATGTGTTTGCAGACCTCAATTCATCTGCCTTATCAGTTTGCTGCCTCCCTGTGGTCCTCTGCCGCTAATCATGAGGTTGGGGTTTTGGCTGAGTCTTAACGCACTGCAGAAAGAGCTGCCTCACTTTGGCTATGCGCCATGGTGACTGTAGCCAGGCAAGCTGTGGCTCCCTGCCCATATCCCACAAAGTAAATCACTACAAAAGGGGAAGTCATGGCATCAATTATTAAGGCTAAAGAAACTGGCTCCCGCTCAGGCCTCCCACTACAGGGCACTGCAACATGACTCTAATGCATCTGGGTAGCCAGGTGGCTGGGACACAGTGCCATGCCAGCTGGGATGTGTGTTCAACTGACCAGACACGCACACACACACGCACATGTAGGGTAAACATATCCTTATGGGGACCGCTCATTCATTTCAATGGGAAAAATGCTAACGCTAACTATGACAACCCTAACCCCTACTCTGCCCTAACCATAACCATAAGTAACCTAACAAAATACAAGAGTGTTTGCATTTTTAGTTTTTTCATAGCAGTCACCGATTTTTATAAAATACAGTTTTCCCTTATGGGGACCAGGAAACCGGTCCCCATAAGGGAAAAAAAATGGATATTTTTCACGTTATGGGGACATTGTGTCCCCATAGGAATAGGTAAACCCGCTCGCACACACACACACACACGCAGAGCAAAACAGGCACACAACAAACCAAACAGATGCATCAAGAGTAACACTGACAGGGATGCAAAAGTATTAATATACATGCCAATATTTATCAATTTGTAAAAGGAAATTGGACAGAGGGAGGTAGCGATACACTGAGGAAGAAATATTGTTCACTGTTTTGGCCTCCATCATAATTCTATATCTGGCTGTTCTCACATGCACCCTAACATTATAAATGTATGCATACCCCCCCCCAACACCATGAAATAACCTTGCAGAATAATATATGCTGTGGTATATATGCCCTCATGCAGTCCTTGGGCACTCCATTCTCACTCTCTTCTGATTCATGTGTCTTACCTGTTTGGCTGCCTCTGCTATGAGGAGGGTCTTCCCTGTGCACGGTCCTCCATAAACCACCAGGGGGCTCACTCTGCTGGCCTTGGTGGGCAGCATATACCTGTGGATCACACTGAGAGCCTCACACTTGTACTCGTACAATGATGAGTAGGTCTTGCACAGGGACAGGTGCTGTAGGATCTCATCGTAAAGTGGGTCTGTCTCAGTATCGAAGTTCTGCTGCACAGTGGCCTGAATGATATCCACCATATCCTCATAGAACTGCTTGCAGAGACCTTCGACGTAGTGGCTCTCCACCTCTTGTGAGTAGCCCAGCTTCATGTCGCAGTGCGTGACTGAGGAGTAGACTCGCAGGTTGGAGGCTGCCACAATGGTCGGGATGAACTCATCGCGCACCTTCTGAAGCTGCTCGTAGGCCTCCTGGTTACGCACGGCGCGATCGCCGTTCTGCGTGATATCCATGTAGCGGGCCATCTCCGGCAGCTTGGCGTAACGCTCTAAGTTGGCGATTTTCCGGATGTAACACACACATTTCTTCAGAAAGGCTGGCGTCTGCTTGCCCAGGGCGAAGTCTAACTCATCCTCGAGAGCTAGGAGAATGATACAGGCAATCACATGAAAGCACAGCATGCATAACAGTCCCAATACTGAACATCCGAAGGTTCCCGTGGTGTGCTGAAGCACAAGCTGGTCATGAAGCTGTTTCTTTACCCTTAAAAGAAGCAACGGATGTTCACTTCTGCAACTGGCCAGCAAACATCTAGGGCTCTGGTCTCTTGGGCTCAGGTGTACGTCTCTAAACCTTCTCTAAAATCAACTAACATGATAAAATCACACTGATCCACAATGGCAATGCAGTATCAGAGTTTTATGGTTTGGTTCACAAGCCAAAACGTAAAAAGGTTGTATCACTGAAAAATATCTTCAAATCATTTTCTAGCCCAAAGCCTTTGGCACTTAAAATCTGGTTGATTTTTTTTTCTTTTTAAAACTTTAGTAACTTTTTTCACAAAGCCAATAATGGTTCTTACATTTACAGAACACACTGAAAATCTGAAAACATGTGCCTGAGTGATATTTTCTTGTAAATATATTGATTTCTGATTATTTCACCTCACATTTGGTCTAAGCAGCTCACATTTACACTACATGTTAGCTAAATTATGAATCGACAAAAGCTTAAAAGATCCATGACACAGGGAAGAAGTAGATCTTCAGTTATATTTTAAAGTACGTCAAGTTATGACTAAGCTACAGACAAGGGCGTAGGTTTGGTTGCAACATTGGAAGGGACCAAATTAGCCCAGAATCCCCCACACTCCTTAAAACACCCAGCACCCCCACGACATTGCTGGGGACATACTCTACTGTCCATACCCACACCCATGGTTACAGATAAAGCAGTCTTTGCATTTGCCTTTCTGTTCATCATTGGAAGCTGGCTCCATCTACACAGAGTCAATGTTTCCTCATGATTCATGGGGTCTAACAGGGGAACATGACAGAAGTGAATGGGTTGCTACAGGTGCTGCTCGGGGTGGAGATGGCTGTACCAGTTGTCCTCACCGGAGCAGAGGAACCTCTTGCCCTGGGTGCTTTTCATGGTGCCCTTCTCCTGTAGGTGATGGACGGCGGTATGGAAGATCTTCTTGATCTCCTCTGACACACTCCGCCAGGCCCTGTCTGTCTTGGCCTTGGTGCTTCCTGATTCCATCTAGCAGACAAACACAGGCCCGCTGTCTTAATGCCCTTATCACGTGTCTCCCTTTTTTGGTCAGGTGGGGAACATGCATGGAGGGACAGTAAGATGGAGAGAGAGACGGAGACAGAGAGAGAGAACGTGTGGTAGAAGGACACTGGCTTTGGATTTATGAGGACTCCTCTGTGTGGACTGGGCCTGCTGCTTTTTCCATTTTCACCCTGCAGTGATTCTGAACGATAACATCCCCCCAGTCTACATTTGGACACAGTATAATAGGCTTTTAGACAAAAAAAATTACCCTCAGTTTCGACTGGCACAAATATATGTTTAGTTTAGTGTACCAAATACATTGCTGATTTTACATTTTAAAAATGCAGCAAATAAATATAGAGTGAATTTTACATCCTGTGGACTGGCTGCCATCTTCACCTATTTTTTGCCTCCTCTAGGGGGCACCCAGGGCAGTGAGCACATCTCATACCTTTCAGGAGATAATAACATTGCAGCGTCTCAAAAACTGGAAGCTAGAGTGACTCCCATCTCTCCAAAGAGCATTGCTAACTGACGACCTGAACAGTATTGTGTAATGCTGTTCAGAAGTCTTGTTCCAGGATTGTACTGGGGTGCTACATTGTATTGTGCTATGTGTATGTGTATGTGTCTGTGTCCATGTGGGTGTTTAGCAGGAAGACTAACACATTGATACATTTTGGGGGGTGGGTGGTGTTTGTTGATTACTGTGACAGTAAACACTGTAATTTCTGCTAATTCCTTCACTGGAGAGTCCTCGTGCAGCTGTAAAGCTAAGCAAGCTTTGAGTCCTTCTTGTTCTCAATGGCACTGCATACCGAGTTCTGGTAGTTCTTCAGCATCTGAGCCTTGGGTTTGATGTAGTAGGCCGGCGGGACAGAGTTCTCGTCCCGGCAGTACCACTCCTCCAGGATATGCGTATCCAGCCCCACTTCCACAGCGGCGTCCAGGATCATTTCAAACTCCGCTGACTCCACCTCTCCTGGCACACGTATGCTGCCATACTTCTCACCGACCAGCCCCTGTTGGTGGCACAGAGGGAGAGCGGCAGGTCAAATAAGGACATATGATGAGAAACTGTGAGCAGTGTAAGCGTTTGTCCATAACCAGACTAAAAACGAAGGGGTTAACTAAGACGTGTAGACCAGCCAAAACCCAAAACTGTGCCAGTGATTATATAAGAAATATAGCTTTGGTCTATTACATGAAAATTACTGTTAGTTGTGCTCTGAGGCTTATAAGCAACATTAGTACTGTCCACTTGGCAATGAAACTATTTTTAGAGAAAGATAAAGACAGTACTGAAAATGAGAACTGGAGAATGAGGACATTCAAAGCTGGGCTGCATTAACAAAGGAGACTGTATCAGTGACATGAGGGGATCCTTCACACAGCACACAGCTGGCTCCACCATGACAGAGAAGGGAGCGAAACGGGAACCCAGAATATACGCCTCGATAAACCCCCCTTTGCCGAGTAAAGGATGCGACTCACAACGGCAACTTGGAATTCCCTGCACATCTGGCTTTGAAGGCAGCCGTTTTACTTCTGTACTACTAATCTGCAGTAGTGCCACCTGCTGCAGTGGAGTGATAATCCTGCCCTGTGAAGCACCTAAAGTTCTGACTCAGAACCTGTTCTTCACCAGGGTACCTTTGGTCTCAGTGTGAGTCACCCAAAGCCACATCTCAAAATCTCACTGGGCACGTATTTTGCTTGGAGCTGTGTTGAAGCTTGACAAAACACTGGAGGTCTTTTCACCCTCTGGGCTGAAGTGCGGCGTGCTGAGCGCTGCGCTATCTCAACCAGTCCCATGTATCCTGTAGACTGCCCAACTCCTCACACCTCAATGTTGATGGCAGAGTGTGATGCCCTCAATGACCTTGAATTTGCAGGCCCGCTTTGCAGAGGAGGGTGTGTTAGATTTGGCAACGCCTCATGACCATCAGCATGCAGAGGAACAAGGGGAAAGGGGGCGGAGTTTTCCAGTTCAGTTCAGTTGAGTGGGGTAGTAGAAAACCAGGTAACCTTGGTCATTAGCAATGCATGTCCCCTACTCCAACTGCCAATCACATTCAGCCATTCATGTCTGAAACATCCCCTCTGATTCTCTATCTTCTCCTTTCTTTGCTTTTCCGCCAATAACCTTCAAATAGTCACTCTTTATGGTCGGTGCATTACCTTTGTTAGGAAGACAATACCGCTTCAGAGGTACATGAGGCTTTCAATAGCCGTGAAATCAAAAGCGATTCCTCCTAAGAGGTGTCGAGCAATTATTTTTCTGTGTGCACACATTCGCTGGCGTGGAAGCAGAGATGAGTTTTTAAAATGGAGAGATGCCGGCAGCCGTTTGGGTGGACGTCAATGTGAAGCGCATGCTGCTTTTCTTAGTCGATGGGATGCAGATCCTGGGAGGCAAGCTTCACGTTAATGAGTCAGCCCACACACATCAGTGAACTCACTCACAGCACCATGTGTACGCTATAAAAAAACGCTTCTTTTCAATAGGTTTTGACAAAGGCTGTCAACATGAGGTTATCTCTCTTTCTGAGATGAAGTCTAACGGATGCCTGTGTTGATTATCCAAGACAGTCCATCAAGTTTTCCTATTTTTAGCATTTCTGCAGCTGAGTGTGGAAAAGACAAGCCTTCTTGATTGTGGTATGAAAGCTGTAACAAACCTTATTGTTAGAGAAAATATGCAAGAATAAGTCCAGCACCCCTGCCTTCCCTAGAGCGAAAGCTGGAAGTCAATAACAGCAAAGTGGTTTAATGGCGTAATACTACATTACAGCTTCTTGGCGCAGGAAAACTGCAGCTTTGAAGAAACATTTTTGTTTACATCTTGTTGACAGCTTTTTTTGCTTCCTTTCTGGTGCCGTGGCGCTGGCAGGGCTGTTTCCTGCTGTTTTGCTTCTTCGGTACCTTGCAGACGTGAATCTGCAGCGATTATTCTTATTAACGATGGGGGAGGTGCGATGGGGTGCAGTGAATCGCCAAGAAACGTGGCAGCTTTCATGTACTTGGGCCATCGTCAGGGCAATGGGCCTCTGCCTTGGCCTCTGTTCCCTCACACACACACACACACACACACACACACATGCACACACACACACAAACAGTCACAATGGATGACGATCCAGAAAAAACATGTCCCCACCCCCCACACACACACACTCGCTGTTCCCAACAGTTGAGAGATGACTCCATTGGCCCAGCCTGCTTGGCTTGCTGTCAACGCCGGCTGTTTGAAATGCAGCCAAGACGGTGGCGGCATCGCTGCAGATGAGCACAAACAGCTTCAGGTTTCTTTGCTCCGTTTCCTGTCAGTGGCTAAACCAGCCTGAACCGAAGAACAAAACAGCACTGATTCTGCATCCTGCCCCGCGTCGATGTTTCAGCCAAATGCCTCATAGCCTCAGCCCAGTGGAGGATCCAACATGGTGTTCCTCTAACAGCAGGCGTCCAGCTTATGGTCATCCTATGACCTCATACATACAATGGGATTCTTTCATTACATGAACTCCCTCATAACCTAAGGGGATTTTGATGAAGTGTGGTGTTCTCTCTCTATGGGGGTGTTTTCCTGGATTTATTTAAAGTATCACTGAAATAATTTTTATGGATTTCTTCGGAAGGATTAATGTTCAAATGAAACCATATCAGAAATGGCTGTATCATGTTACACTGGCAAAACATGAAGACATTGTGTGATGCAGTAATATCAGCTGAAAGTAATGGACAGATATTATGTGTCTAGTGAACAACAGCTTAAAAGAAGGCAGGTAAAGAAAGCAGCAGACAAGCAGGACTCACACTCAGCAGGACGGACATGCTCCACTGGAGCTTCACGCACGCCTGCTGACGATAGCCCATTTTAGGACCCTGCACTGCCTTAGCATCTCTCAGCGGCTCCCTGAGGCCGGGCCAGAGTCCAGTCAGCCAGCCAGAGAGGGAAGTGGTGAGGGGGAGGGGCTTGCTTGGTGACAGGAGGGGAGGGGTCAGGGGGTGGGCTTGCTTGAGGACTGGAGGAGAGGGGTGAGGGGGCGGGACTTGCTTGAGGACAGAAGGAGAGGGGTGAGGGGGCGGGACTTGTTTGGGGAATGGAGGGAAGAGTGAGGGGGTGGGGCTAGTTTGGGGACAGGAGGGGGGTGAGGGGGCAGTTCTTGCTTGGGGAATGGAAGGAAGAGGGAGGGGGTGGGGCTAGTTTGGGGAATTGAGGGAAGGAGGTACTTGTTGTGTCTGTGCAGTTTTGTTGATTTTAGAGCCGTGGAAGAATAGATATTGAGGAGATGGAGATAAACTGGGGAACATGACTTATTAGAATTAGGTGATCAGTGGTCATTGTCAACACACCACAGCACCCATATGTGACTTTCGTGACTAATTCAGCCCCCCGGGGGCAGTGTTTGGGGGCGGAACCTTGCTCAGGGTACCTCAGTGGTGCCTTGCTGGTCGGGGATTCGAACCTGCAATCTTTCAATTACAAGTGTGCTTCCTTAACCATCAAGCCACCACTTCCCAAGGCCAGATTACATTTATGCATTAATTGACTGGTGTCCTGTCCAGGATGTGCCCTGCGTAGATAAGTGGTTGCACGGACGGATGGATAAAATGAGTGTGAATTTTTCATGAGTGATGGTACAGATGTCACAGAGAGATGGAGAGGCCTCATTGTGTCTGACAGATGAGAGGTGCTGCTTACATGACACGCATGCGGCTGCATCTGTCGTGTGCCACACGGGGACTGAACACCGGCTGGTACGCAGGCGGCGAGGGTAACAGGTGCGGAGGGTAACTTCAGCTGGCTCATGTCAATGCTCTTTCTGCACAGCATAAGGCTCGGCCTCAATGTCATTTCTGATAGGAAGAATAATTCTAGCGCTGACCAGTTGATGAGCTCCTCTACTGCACTGCCCATGTCACAACTAAATGTTTTCATTTAATTCAGGAGACACATTTTTGGTCATTTGCATAACGGGTCATGCAAATGTAGTCGTACTTCTTTGTGTAAAATGCTATTTAATGCAGAAGCATATTTAGGGTCAGCCTTAGAGTTTCAGCTAGGGAGCAGAGGAGGGGGTCTTGTTTGGGGACACCCCAGACCCCTGATAGCTCTCCAGCCACAGTGCCACCTGCCTCTGCACACACTTCTTTTACATTTTAATCAGTTGGGATCAATTTCACTAGGAAATTCTGCTTCCCAGTGCTGCTCTGTCATGTGAAACAACCTCAGAAAAATTGCCCGTTTCACGTCTGTAACCTGGAAACCTCTGCAGGGTTCTGATTCCCCCACTCATACTCTCTGCAGCCCCCCCCCCCCCCCCCCCCCCCCCCCCCCCCCCCCCCCCATTCCTGAATAGTGGGCCGGACTGCAGCAGGTATTAAGTGGCTGGGATGCAGCTGCAGTGAAATGTTTAAAAACAAGGGGTAGCGGGGTGGTGGGGGGGGTTGTATGTTTTATTCTCGTCCCCATGATGACAGTCCATTCTGAGGCAGCGGTGGGGGTGGGGTGGGGGGTTAACGGCAGATACTGTTACATATATATTATATTACATATATATGTTACATATATATTAAATATTAGGAGAAGCAGGAAGCAGCACTGGACAGAGGCTCAAGAGACACTGTGGGACAGGACACAAGGAGGGGGGCACGGGGGGGGGGGCGTAAAAGCATATCGTCTTATACCCACAACAAAACATGGACCTGCGGAGGTCTTCAAGCACTCCTCCAGCATCTTCATCCTCATCTGCTGGAGCTCTGGGCTGTCCCACTCGTCAGGGTCCAGCCCCCAGTATAGGTCCACCACCTGGGGAAGAGACACATGGTCAGATTCTGCCCCATAAACAAGGAGCCAATATCTAGCCGAATCCAGGCGGGTCCACGGGGCCGCAAGAGAGCAGGGCACTGTACACGTGGGGATTGTTTTCCATATAAAAAGCCGGAAGGTGCGCAGTCAGGTGTAAAATGCTCATGTTAATGTTGAACTTCAGCTTTCTGTTTGACCTCGCCTTCCAGCACGTGGGTGAGGCCCACTCAACGGCTGGCTGAGCCTCAGCAGAGAGAAGCGGCCAGACACAAGGCCTCAGTGTGACCTCAGCAGCACCACGCCAGGCCTGACGCATGTCCTGCCAGCATGCAAACACGTCCTTCACTGGGGGAAGAGCTCAGCCTCCAGGCATCGCAGAACTGCCATTCAGTGCTGGACTGGCTGAATATAATGCACATTTACCCTATTGTATATGAATTATCATATATCAGATCCATTTTTTTTGACGGCCCTCCTACGCTACAGCAGATTTCGTAGGCTATGCTGACTGGACTCCTTCTCCAAGGAGCCTAGGTGAGACCCGGTCATCCGCAGCTGTGCTTCTTCACAGATCTAGTGGTTCCAAAAACAGGCTTAACTAAGCTGTCCACAAGGGTGGACACCATGCGTAAAAGAGCTCAAGGACCAGCTGGCAGACGTGAGCCCCCCCCCAAGGATCTCGGACTGAGATTCTGTTGAAGCCCCACAGGTAGTGCTGTAATTTCAGCACGGGTCATTAGCTGTTCTGTCACTCTGTTATCCCACCGTGACGCCCTGGGCTACAGTTTTGTTGGGTAAGGAGGGGGAGCGGCTTCCAAGTGGGCTTGTTGGGCTGTAAATAAAAGCACTAACCCCCCCCCCCCTGCCCTGCCCGGCCCCCAGGCCCACCACACCTCCTCAATTACGGCGCGCTCTGCCAACACCTGAAATTAATTTCCAAGTGATTGTCTCTCCGTGTCAGGGAGGGGCGGGCCATGCAGACTTCTGGAAAACCACACGTGAAGTATTTGTTGCTGGGAGAGCCGTAATGGTGTCCCTGGGGACCAGTGCTGCCCTCAGCTGGGAGATGCAGATGACCTGTATGGGAATGCGTGTTCTCTTTTCTCTAAATGGGTCACGTTTGCCTTCTGCCCCTGAGAATATGAGCTCCACACGTTCCATTTATTCGTAGCATTAACCTCACTACCTCTGACTCTGACTGCAAATGCAATCAGAGTCAGAGCTCCTGGAAAATGGGGAAATGGCCGCCACACCCTGAATCAGTTACAGTCTTTAGCACGTGTGGGGTAATTTTCACAGACTGATTCTTAGTCAGAATAATGCAGACACTCTTTGCTACTGTGCCAACATCACAGTTATGATTCTGGTGATTCCGCTTTTGAGAAAACAAACCAGAAATGAGATTACAGCAAACCTAATGCCAGGCAAAATCACACATTTCCATATGTCAGTTACATTTCATTATCCCTTAAAGTAATTCACCATGATTCCATCTTGCAGCACCATCAACATTGCTGCTAACTGATGTCATTAGACAAACACCTTGACCGCATGTCGCTCTATAAGCAGTGTTATCTAATCAAAAATATTAAACAAAGCAATTGCTATTAGGAAGACTAGTTATGGAAACTTCACCTCATTAGCTTTTAGCTAAGCCCATAAACTCAGCTTTGAGTTATGGTGCATGTAAAGTAAACCTTTCTGAGGTTAATTCAGTTCTGATCTGTGGATTGAGCTATGCAGTGAAATCAATCCCGCTTTCTGGGGTAACACTATACCATGTATACCAAGGAGATTCAAAGGAGCAGTGAAAAGTCTATTTTAGGATTGAACAACCAAGGCAACAAACACATTTACCAATACAAATATCTATTTCTTTCAAGGTGCCCTGGAAGTTGTAATAGTTCCTTCCTTGTATTTATACGATCAGCATTAAAAATAGGGGTAGGTTCAATGTATTAATAAGATTTTGACCGAGGTCTTCAGTCTGACTGGAAGCTCTTGTAGGAGTGGTTTTGAGTGAGTCACCAATTGTGGAGGAGGAGACCTCAGGTTGAATGACAGATGGAGCAGTGTACTGTCCCTGTTAAGGAGTGCTGGCATTGGATTGGTCCCCATTTCAGAGGCGAGCCCTCTGCTTTGACTGACAAGAGTGGGAAGGACTCATGTGCTGACTACACAGCTCTGCCCCTCAGCACAAAGAGGTTGCAGATCCCCCTGTATCGAGGGGCCGAAATTATGCACAACTGTGACCTAAGAACTGCCAAGACTGCTTTTAATGAGAGAGCTGAAATAAGATGGTCAGCTACTGAACTGAGACGTTACAGTGACAGGCGTAGGAAAAGGGCAGATTATATAGACTTCAAATAAATTAAAAGAAGAGATGATAATTAAATAAAAGGTATAGATGTGAATGTATAATGTGATACACATGTAACGGAGTCACTGCTGAGACAGTAAGA